CCCCAGTCACAGTCTCGCTCACAGCCCTTTGGGCAAACAGAGGAGACGTGCTGGGGCTGGGGGAACATAACCATGGACTGGTTTGCAGCTACTCCCTACGAGAAATGTAACTTCCTCTCCTTTACCGAGGCAGGATTGTTCCAGAAAACACTCACAAACTCGATGATCTTCTGACATTACTTCAAATATGCTCTAAAACATGGTCCCAACTGGCTGAAGGTCCAAAAGTAACCAGGAGAGTAACTGAAGGGAAAGAGAATGGGCTTGCAAGTTTTGTTTCCCCAGGGAGTACTCGATTAAGCATAAACAGTGAAAGTACTACAAACATAAGTGCTATCACTCTCCTTCTATAAAACATTCCCTCCTTTGAGATAGGGAGATGTGTATTTTATCCAAGGCCTGCTTTTATCTGCCCCATTATGACTGTCCTTAAGCTCAAATCTCCCAGTCAGCCCTCCCACAGTAAGTGGGGTGATTAACCTCAGTGCCCCCCTCACCTCTTTACCAATATAGCCCAGCTGAACTTCCTCCACAAAAATAAAAGGAAATTCTGCAAACAAAGGTTACAGCCAGTCAGGAACAACAGGAAAAGTTGTCTTCTGCACTCTGTTCATATTGCAGCACAGATAATGTCCACAGACACCCCTAATATGCTGGGGAAGATGGGCTTTTCTGGACTGTTTACAGCCTTAGGCCTATTTTTCTGTCTGAGAACTTCTACAAACCATTCAAGCCTCTCCCATGTTCTGTGTCAATAATTTTAAAAAGTTATCACACATTTATGTTTGTTTTATGATGAACAAGACATAACTTAGTACAAACTACTATGGATTCTTGATATTTTTCCAAAGCACTTAAAACTAAAACTACTAGAGATTACCGGGCACTAAAGCGCCTCAGGCTCCACCAGCACTAAACCCATCGGTATTCTTAGTAACAAACACAAGTGCTACACAGACCTCCCTGTTATTACAAACTATAGAATTTATCTTAGTAAGTATAATACTCCAAAAAATCTATCTAGAAGAAAGCCAGTACAGTGCACACAAAATTTAACAGACAAATCAGGGATGCAACAAAACACACTCTGGGCTCAGTGAAAATACAGATCTCGGTAGGAAACTGATGCTGTGTTTACAGCGTGGAAGACCAAAAACTTCCAAGGAGTGATCACTAGATTAACAACTGTGTATACATAAGTAAAAATATATACAATTGTAACAGCATGATATCTGAATTACAAAAGTACTGCTGAGTAACTGAAGTAACAAGAAAGGCTTTGCTTGATACAAAACTTAGTAACTATGTCAGTGCAAATATCTTACAACTGAATTACGAAATGAGCAAAATCTGCTGGATGTGAGATCTGTAAGGGATGTGCTTGTTACACACCACTCTCTGCATTGACACTGTTTTTCCTACAGCACAGGGTGACTCACAGAGAAGGTGAGAGAGAGGCACGTCACCATCACCCAATGCCAAGAACACAATTTCTGACCCTACTACTGCTGCTGACTCCCATTCCAAACTGGGGAAAGCCATCCTCTGTCACACCCGCTGTGTAACTAAGATACAACAGCTTCCTTACCTCTCCATTTCATACAGGCTTCTCATGCTTTAGTCCATTTTGGTTCTCTTACTGGGTTTTACTTCACAACTGACTGCAGCAAGCACTGGAGCCAGAGGAGAGGAGCACCTGCCTCAAATCTCACGTATGCTGTGACACACATGCTGTGATGAGAGCAGAAACTGCTCCAAGGTACCTCCAACTTTAAAAACAAACACACACAACACTTCAAGCCTCTGAGAAGGTTGGAAAAACACAGTACAGCAAGGTTTAAAGCCTTTCAGAGGCTAAACTGGCTTCCGGAGACCTGAACGGATCATGAAACTGGCTTAAAGAGCAGCCACACACTGAACTCAATTTATCCAACTTGCTCTTAACCTCCCTTTATGTGGTGCTTATGCTACATAAACATACAGCAGCAAGTATTTGTGGCACCTGGATCTCATATTTAAACAATAATGATCCCTTCACCCCAACTGGAATCCTTGAGGAAGGGATGGCCTTTGAACTACTTCATACCAGTCGCAAACTTCTTGCTGAAAAAAGTATTTCATACATCAACAGAAATAAAAAAAAATAAAAATCTAAGAACATCTCACAAATTGGTTTTTTCCAAAGATTTGCTGAAACCTTAGAATCAAAATTATGAGCCAAGGATACAGTATGAGTACATCTGCATGTATGCATGCATTTCTGATGAAAAGAAAAAAAGTAAAAATTAGATTCGTGTGCATTGTTACAAAATTTAGGTAATTAGTTTTTAGGACTTCTAAGTTAAACAATTTATCAAACAATACACAAAATCTTCCTAATGTGCCAAAAGCACCAGAAATGTTGACTTTCACTAGATTGCTTCCATTGTGTGAATTAATCCACTAAGAAATTGCAGGATCCTTCTTTCTGTGAGTTCTCAATACAAGTCAGTACCGGTATGACATTATTTCATTAAGCTAATGACAAAAATAAAGTTAATTTAGTAGAAATGCTTTGTAAAATTTCAAAAGCCAGTATTTCAAAAGTAGAAAACAGGATATACTCTCAGCTGGGCAAAATTCTGAATTGCCTTACAGCATCACTATGAACACACAATCTGACAAGCAGATCCACACGACATTTTACAGGAGCTCCCCAGGGATATCTTGCTTTCAAGTAGGACACAGGGAAATCCCGCTCCCCTTTCTTTCTCCCCACAGCAGCAATTCCCTCCAGGGGAAGAAGCAGGTAAATGCCCTGCACTGTGCAGGTGTTCCACAGCATCCAGCAGTTTCTTTTCCACTGCAAGCTGAGGTAGGAGAGAAAAGCCCCAGCTGTCCTCTGTGCAAGAGCAGAACACAGAAGGAACTTTCTGATCCCTTCGTGTTTATCTTCTGGGAACAAATCCCAACATGTATGTTCTGGGAAATTGCAATTTTATCCCAAAATTAATTTTATGAAGGTATTTTCACTAAAGTTAAGTAGAAAAATGATTAAAAAAAGCTCAGTGCAAAATTGGCGTTTGCAAAAGAGACCTCTTACTCCTAATATAGCACCTTCTGCCAGATACTGTAATTAAGTCATACTTCCATGGCTGGCTTACTTTTCTTGTCACGGAAATAATTATGTCATAACTATCTGGGGTCAGACTATCCAAAGAGCACCTACTGAAACTGGAAGCACAACTCAAACCCATAAAAAAACACATATCCTCTATTTTCAAGCAAATGCAATGACCCTTGAATCCAGGACACGTTTCAGGAAGCCAAGTGACATGGAGGTGGCAGGGATACAAAAAAAATTATTGGATCCATACTTAGATACAACTATGTTTTTAATGTACTAATCTCTACCTTAGCCTAAATCCGATTATATTTTTTCTCTGCATGTTCCGAGCTCACCCTCCTCCTCCCAGAAACAACCTTAAAAGAGAGGAGGCCTCAGGTAACATGTCACATTCAGCCAGCTGGCAAATCGCAACCTATTGCAAAAGCGGCAAAGTCGTTCAGCTGTATTTGTACATAAAATAAGCCAACAAAAGAGCATGACCACGTCGGCGAAGAGATGCCTGAGCGTCACTTCATAATTCACGGAGAGCGGAGGGGGCACAGCCGGCCAGGGCAGCCCCGACACGGGGCATTTCCCGCGGGCCCCGGGGGTCTCTCCCCCGCCGTATTTAATCGCACAGGGCGTGCGAAAACAACCCGCACGCAGCAGCTCCAGCCCGGATGCGCCCCGGGGCGGCCCCGGTCCCGCTGACCTTGGGCGGCCCCCCGCGCCGCGACCCCCGGCGGCCCCCTGCCCAGGCGCGGGGCCCGAGGCCGCCACGGGCCGTCGAGGCGGGGCAGGCTGGGGGGGGGCGCCGGCGCGGACAGCCCCCCCCACCCGAGCGCGGCCCCTGCCGCCCCCCCCGGGCAGCCCCCGGCCCCGGTACCTGCGTGCGGCGCTAGCGGAGCGGACGCGGCGCCCCGCCATGCCCGGCCGCGGCTGCTGCAGGCCCCGACGGCAGCGCCTCAGTCCGGCCCGCCGCCATGTCCGCGCGCGCGCGGTGCATTGTGGGGCGAGGGCGGGGGGAGCGCCCCGGGGGGGGTGGCGCTGAGGGCGGCGGCGGCTGACAACGACCCGACCCGGCCCGGGGGGACCCCCGGCCGCCAGGGGAGCCTCCTGCTGCCTTAGAGCTCCCCCTTGGCTGAGGGGCCGACGCGCCCCGCTCCCCAACACTCTCGGCGTTCAGGGCCTCCCTCCCCCAGTGCCACAGCAGCAAGCGGGGATGAGGGAATACGCGGAATAAGCAGCACGGTTTTTTCTTAATCCCCCCCAACAGCCATCCTAATTTCCCCCCTCCTCTTCTCAGCCCAGGCCTCTCCTTACGCATAAAATCATCAGGGTTGGAAGAGACCTTTAAGATCACCCAGTCCAACCATCCACCCAGCGCTGCCACTGTAACCCTTAAAGCACTGAACCACATCATCCAGCGCCACATCCAGGCGCCTCCTAAACACCTCCAGGGACGGTGACTCCACCACCTCCCTGGGCAACCATTCCAATGCCTGATCATCCTAACAGTGACATTTGTTTTCCTAATAACTAATCTGAATCTGCCGTCTCAGTTTAAGGCCATTTCCTCTCATCCTCTCACTGCAGGCACGGTAGAAGAGACCGGCCCCTCACCACAATCTCCTGTCAGGTGGTTGTAGAGAGCGATGAGGCACCTGCACCCCCAGGCCCCGTGGAGCTGGGTTAGGGTTCCACGGAGCCCCACGCCACAGCCCCGGCCTTGCTGCCCCCTTCCCTAGGGCTTCCCCTCCTCTTCCTCTCCTCTCCAGTCGGTGGAGAAGGGCAGGTATGCCCCAGAGACACTGAGGAAGTGGCTCCAGGCTCCCTGACCTTGGCTACGGAGCCGGCCCCGGCAGCAGCCCGGGACAGCAGCTTGGCCAGCACGTCTGCTGGCAGTCTGCAGGTCTACAGAGAGAAGAGCCAGCCTGCCAGCTCTTAGCACTGCTGGACGGCGACCTAAAGGCACTGGCAAGTGCTTGTCTGAAGCAAATCCCTCTGTGAGCCACTACTACCCCTTTTTGGCACTGAAATGCCAGGTTGGCACTTGAGGCTAAGGAGGCCTTTCCAGAAAAACAAGGCATGTAAAAGATTAGTCTTGAACTACTATAGGGGTTCAAAGGAAAGTATTAAAAATAAGAAGAACAGGAGTGCTGGAAACACTGCCTCAGGGAGTATGTGCAGGTAAACAAAAGTTGCAAAATCTGTAATACTGGATTCTATAAATACTGACGATTCATACTTCTGAATGTATTGTGAAGTCAGCACAATCCTGACTAGGGGTAACGTGCTATTTTTTTGGTTCACTTGAAGTTCACACTTCACAAAATCAGGACTGGATAACTCAGGGATGTACTACAGAGGTTTCACCTTCAGGAACGTGAGCCAGGTCAGTCCAGGGCAGCAATGACAGAAACAACAGTGCTGCCCTGGGGCCAGCTCAGGTTAACTGGGTGGTGGTTTCAGCCAGTCCTGTTTGACAAAGATTTTTATTAGGTTTCATAGGTCAAAGAGTAAATTGCAAAAGTAACCTAATTATACTTGCTGCTGGATACAGTCCTCCTAGATCAACATTTAGACATGCTAGTGAGCAAACACACACCAGTTTGCAAACCTGACTAGCATATTTCCTTCAAATAGTTGGCTAGACTTTAATATGAAATGTTAGTGCAGTTTGGCTCTGAAAACTTGAACCATTTATAAAGCCAGGAGTCTTTGACATAGTTCCTCTCTGTGTTCAGGAACAATGCTTCCTTCTTTGCTGATGTTAAAGAATGTTTTATTGCAGGGAGCAGTATAGAAACATGGCAGTAAAAGAGGAAGCTGAGTTCTACTGCCAGTTGGCCATTATTTAAAGAATTCCCAATTCAGTGCCAGTGATCAAAACCTTTTAGTTTCTGGGCTCAGTTTGTAGGACAAAATAGAATCCTGAAAGCCACTAAATTTTATCTAGAAATCAGAGACAATAGACATAAAGCTGTAGGAAGCAGATTTTATAAAGTGCCTTTCCAGAGCACAACTTGCTTATCTCCTGTTGCAGTATGACACCTCATTTTCAGTCCCATACCCAAACTGCTATAACATTACGCCTAAAAAATGTAGAAATGTATCGTAGATTTCTTTTTCATTTTCTGGCCAAAAAATGCTGTTGATCACCATCGGAATGATTTTTAAAAATTATTTTTAGGATTTACTAGGTTTTTAACATCTATTTAAATGTATCTACTGCATTAAGGCCCTGTTCTCTGTCTCTAGCTGTGTTGGAAGAAACTCTAAAACTTCTTAGATAATTTACTTATCAAATGAGGAAATCATACTTGACTGTCATCTCAAGGATAGGTTCCTGGTCAATGCTACAGCCAGGAAACTTTACAGAAAGATAGAACTTATCTGTGAAGAACTTCAGGTTCTTAGCAACTGTATCTTCCCAGCATAGTACAAGATTTTCTATCTATATATTTTTGTAGTATATTACCTTGTTTCTTGATGTTGGATGTCTACTTAAGCTGAAATACATAAAAAAGATGTGAAAATCTGAAATGCTTAAAAACTATAATTAAATTTGTCAACTAGCTATACATGTCTTCTTCACTTACAGTAATGCCAGTCATGCTTGAATTACCTAAGCAAATTTAATCAAAATGTCAAAGATCTACCAAAACTCAGTTAAAAAAAGAAAATAAATCACCAAGTGAGATGACAAAATGTAATTTGCTCTTCAAAAGATAAATTTCCAATATGCCTTGGAGGTTCTACTTAATTGTTTTCTGTAAATCGCTGCACTTTGCTTTTCTTTGCCAAGAACTATCAGAATCCCAGCCATGGGTGACCAGTTTCTTGGGCCAAGAAAAAAATCAATGACCATTTAATGCTTTCTATTGTTGATACTTTATATGTCCAAATCCTTTTCTTCCAGCAGGCATAGGAGCAAAATTGTACAGATGGCAGGTTTTTGTTGCAGGCAACCCAAGAATGACATCAGTGCACTGAAGCAGTGGTTTGTTTCTGCATGTCTGAAAACTTCGGTACCAAATTCAGTTCCTGATCCTTAATGCCTCTTTCTTGCTTAAAAACCCTTTGGTAATGTCGTTTCCCCCATACCACACTGTAGGATCAGTGCTGTGGCCACTCACTCCTCCCTAAACAGGAGCTTGTAAAGATGAATTTCCTGCAGGCCTGGTTCATGTGGTGGTGTTCCATGTGATGTTCTGCACAGAGTGTTTGTAGTTCTGGGTTTGCTGACTGTAAGCTGGGACTCTTGTTCAGAGCACTCACGTCAGTAACCAATAGCAACCAAGCCATTGGTATCCTTTGACATTACACCGTAGTTACCAGATGCTATACTTAGTACACTAAAAAAAGGCACTTGCAAATCTGTCAAAAATCATAACAACTCTATCCCTTATTTTCCCAGGACGTAGTTAAAGTAGGATCTTTAAATCTGACTGGATTCCACAGACTGAACTCGAGCCGACCAGTACTTAAAAACCACGTGCAGTACTCAGTGCACCACTGCCACCATGAAATGCTCCATGTCAGAGTGCGTGGATCCTCCATAAATCCATCCTGCTGAGGTTTGGTGTGGACAGAGCTTTAGGAGTGCTGCAAAAGGCCGATTTGCAGCAGCCGGTCCTTTGCGGCGGCGCTGTGCCGGGCCGGGCAGAGCGGCGGCGGCCGTGCAGCATGCTGGATCCGGAGGGCAGTGTGGAGCATCAGCCTTCCCCTTCCTTCCCCAAACTCCTGCTCATCCCTCTAGCCATGCTCCTCGCAATTGCAGCGCTCCTGCTCTTAGCCTTTTCCGCCACGCGGCAGAAAGAGCCTGATTTTTACACTTTCAAAGTTGTAAACATCAGGGGCAAGTTAGTCTCCCTGGAGAAGTACAGGGGCTCGGTAAGTCCCGCGGTGCTGGGCTCTGGCCCAGGCTCACTAACAGCCAGTCCTTGCATGTCTGCGGGGCGAGAGGGGGGGAGAGAGCACAGAAACTTGGGGCACAGTCTCGTGTAGGTCTGGGTTTATCACTCTTTATCTCACCACTCTACCTGAGGGCAGTGCTGCCTGCATGCTGCCTGGGTGCCGCTCCCCACATCTCTGCACTCCTGTTTAGCGATGATATCTAGTTAATACAGGCTCCTTCTCAATAAATGTTTGCAGTCTAACCCCTGTGTGTGTCTGCGTCTTCTCCCGGGGCAGGCGGCTGCTGCCTGTAGACGTGGCAGGCAGGGAATGCTCCCCGCCTGCCGTTCCTGCAGCAGGATGGATTGCACTGGATCCTGGCTGTTCACTTGGAAGCTCAGGAAGTTTGTTTCTTTGTGTAACTTACTTTCGGAGCTTATTTCTACCTTTTAACCGCATGACTTCTTGTATATTATTTTTACTTAAATCCCATTCCTTTTTAATGTTCTACATTGAAAAGAAAGGGATTTAGTCAATGGCTAATGGAGTAAACAGATTTCACCGTAGTTAGTGAAAACGTGAGAGACATTATAAAGTAGTTATTGTAATATCAGAGTGTAATGAAATTGTAACATCGTGCTATTCCTCTTTCGCTTTTTAGTGCGTGAAGAAGGGCACGTAGACACACATATACTTTATGATGTCTTTTAAATTTTATTTACATATTACTTTAAGGAGTTTTAGGCAGAGCTTTCCATGCCATTTTAAAACAGTGTCCTTGACTATACTGTGATTTTATTTTAGTTTAGGTAATTTAGTTTTTCAGTGGTTTGATCATCTAGAAAAGATGGTCAGTACCTATGGAAGAGTGATAAGGGAATTTGGCACACTGAAGGCTTAATACTATAAGCTCTTATGGCCCCACTCACAAGTTACAGAAGCTAAAATCAACATAAATCCCACAAGTGCACTCAAATGACACATCTGTGACACTTGCAGGCAGTCCAACAGCTTACCTGCTGCTCAGAAAGGCACCATCTCTTCTCGCTTTTGCCCTTAATGTCCAGTATTGTGTTTTCACCTTCCTTTTCCCCTCCTCAGGTGCTTCACTGAGGTGTCTGAGCTCACTAGTGCACAGCAGCAGGTCACTGAAACACTGGCAGATAGACAGAGAAGGCATATGGGGAGATGCACATTTTCCTGAGCTCAGCAGAAAGGGATACTGGTGGAGTTGGAACAAATGACGGGACTGAATCTTACCTGGTCAAAGTTCTCATCTCCCTCCATGCACAATTCAGATACAGCAGAACTGGTCCCATGCCCACTCCAATATCCCTAGTGGAAAAAAACATGGAAGCTGTTTAATATTGAGTAATATTTGTGCTTTTTTAATCAGTTCCTTCCAAAGGCTCTGTCAATAAATCGTGCTACTGGGGCATGTTTTGTCTGCAGGTCATTGCAAATCTGAATAAGCAAGTACCACCTGTAGCTTCTCTACCTCGGGGCCAGAATCCACATAGAAAGGAGTTAAGGGGGAACTCAGAATTCCTTACAGAGAGCTGTGGGTGTTCATCCCCCCTGGAACAAGCTACAGAGCCTAATTTGGAATCTTATGAACAGGAAGCTGGGGGGGTGTGCCTGTATCCCAGTGCTATGATTCCAGGCCATCCTTGAGGCATGACTGGTTTCGTAAGGGAGAGTTCTAGATCTGTACCTTGGGAGAGGGAACAACATTGATGAATGGTATTCCTTGATCTCTGCTAGGCCACATGGAATAGTTGATTCCAAAAAGGTGATGACCAGCTTCTGTGTGGATAAAAAGATTTACATTCAGAAATCCTATTGATGTTCAGGCCAGCTGCTCTTTGATAATGCACGAGCACCATTTTAAAGAAAATTGCAGCAATAAAACACATCCCTTTCTGTCATTATGTTGTCAGAACTCGGTATCAAGATAGAAAAAGGTTAATTAAAACTCCCATTTATTTCTTAAAATAAACTTGCTTAAATCTGCAGTTAAATAAGCAGTGTTAAGGCGTATGTTTATCATAATATTTTAAAGCTATTAAAAGCAAATAATATTAAAGTACTACGTGTGTGCTGGTGGTGTTCTAAAGAAAGTGAGTCACTAGTTACCTCCTGGAACAATTGTCTGCTAATTGCCAAACCAGCTTTTAACAGCCTTAAGCTTTCTGGCAGATGTAGAGAAGACATTTTCTTCAATTCAGTCACTCAACTAATTTATTTAAATAGCTACCTAATTGCTAGTCAAGAAAATAACCGGGAATTGAAAAAATCCAAAAGCTTCCAGACTACAAAAAAAAAAAAAAAGTGTGCTAATTCTAAAAACACAAAAGCTGTGCTAAGTATAAACAATCAGTGCAATTCATGACTTGCAGAATCTTTCTTCAATAACTCATTATTAATATAAATTTTTGCACATTCAGATCACTGAAACAATTTTTTCCTAGTAGCGATTGATATTATATCAATTTCTATTTGAGTTCATCTTAATAAAAAAGTACCCTCTGTTATATAGTATAGAAGAAATAGACTAACAATTATGCAATAACAAAAATTAAATATATCAGAGAACAGTTTGTTGTTTTTTTCTGAAATAAATGTGCACAGACATAATCTCCCCTTTAATAAAAATACTGAAAATATGTAAGGGAGTACTCCCTTTCTATGGGGGTATTATATTGCCAGAATGCTAGAAATTTGGCATATGTGCTACAAAATCAGGTACTGTGTGACATGTACCTGGAAGCAAAGACAGGAATGACTATAACAACTGAGAAAAAAGTATCATGAGTGGAATAGACCCCAAAACTGTCTGGTTTACTGTGTTATGGGAGAAGGCCATGGTTTTTCCGGGCTTCTATACTGATGTTGACCCCTCTACATTAAAAATGAGGGGCAGTGATACGTGGCTGGACAAGAATCAAGAGGATCCAAACAAGCTCAGTTTTCTATCTAACCTATCTCCCTACCTAATTCAAGAATCTTATCTTTCATTTTATGATCTGAATCAGATATGCTGTAAGATATATTCTTACCAAAAATAGCGCCTATTTGGGAGTCAGAACTCCCAAGCATCAACTGTTCTCTGCTGGTTTTGTACCTGTCTTTGATATAATAGTCCCAAGCTACCCCAGAGCTGAGTACAGTGTGCTGGGGTGGAATTAAGCAGCGTCAGTGCAGTGCCTTTGGAAATCCTGAACCAAAGGTACTATAATCATGTAAAAGCATCAGGCACTGTAACTACCTAAGTATTATTTTACTACTGGAAGTAATGCCAGGCACTTTGGATCAGAGCTCCCTGCAGTCTGAGTGTGTGTATTACTGAGTGTGGGTAAATGCAGAGAACAGCATTTAATTACTGCACAAATACTGCTCTTTTTTCCGTGGAGGTAACAGCTCTGTGAGTTGGTGTAAGCTGACTCTTATGGCTCAGGTGGAGCCAGTTAAGAATCTCCAGGTCTAAAAACCCTGCTGAAAGATCCACAAAGGGTTACTTGAAGATGAGACCAGACTCATAAATCTGTTCAGGGACCATTCCCTCACGGAGGCACCTTGGTGTAAACATCAAGTAAACCAGGAAGTCTTTTTGCAGTGTTAAATAAATGAGTTCACTACTAGAATGCCTGGGTTTTCTAAGCAAAGGGAAAGACAGGATAGTGTTAAGAGGTCAGACAAGAGCTGATAGAGAATTCGGCTTAAATGAAATGATTTTTGTGAGGTCCATGATGAACTGTTTGCACTGCACACTAGGTGGTGTGCTTGACCTGCACTCTCAAGAGCCTAAAGTCAAGCATATTGAACTTAATTTAAAGCATTAATAGTTGTAAGAAGTCAAAGTACAGCCTCTACATGAGAACAAAAAGAGTGACTGTTATTTATTAAAAATAAAATATAGACCAAAAAAATCATCACATTTAATCATTTCTAGTACCAGACACTTGAAGGATTACCTGGTAAAGGTTTTTAAAGAATAATTTTAAATGTTCCTTATGAAATACCAATAAATCCTGCAAGTTTTGATTATATGTGTTAGTTACACTTCTAGGAGGTTTGCACTATTAAATTATGGAGTTCAGTAGTGGAGAATTCAGTTACAGGGAGAGCATTTTTCTAAGGAAAAAGAAGCATAATGTGTTTGCTATACAAAAAAATGCTGTGTGTAGTTTCCTTCTATTTTGTGGGAAGTTGTCTGGAAGTTTGCACTATTTGCGCCGTGAGCTCTCAAGCCTTTCACCACCATGCCAAATAATCACTGATTTTAAACAGCTGTAAGTTAAAATTGATTCTTTTTGAGTGAATTCTTTCAAGCCCTCTTTTTGCTTAAAATCAAGCAAAAGTTATAAAAGCTTGATTGTTTTCATCTTTCATATCTGTTTTAATATGAACACAATGCCTACTCAAGCTTATTCCCCTAAACCTCCAATGATAAATTCTTACATTTCCACACTATTTGGGATAAAGTACCAATAGATGTGAATACAATAAGGTATATGAATACTCCTGCATCATGAAAATGCCAAGCCTTAAACTATATTTTAAAAAGCTTCTAAAATTTCATATGAAAGAACTACATGTGACTTCAACTCTTAGTGGTACAATTTATCTTTACTTCATTCTAAACTACAGTTATCACTATGCTTGGTAAATCAGATTATTTGAAAGGAACAGAACTGCCAATAGTTATTTTTTGTGGCCAATATATAAGTTCTATTTGAAATGCTGACAGTCTGCAACAGGAATTCATCATAAAATTATTATATCTTCTCTCAAAAAAATCTACTTACGTGCCACATCTTCGAGTGTTTTAGGAAACTGAATTTAAAATTTCAGGCAGAGCTTTTAAATGCCTGAATGAAAGTGATGCTTTGGGGGTTGGCTGGGTGGCTGCAGGTCATATTTCATATGCAAGTGTCCAGGGAGTGCTTGGATTGTGTTCTGTTGACACTACACCACAAAGATTACACCAACTTGTGTTTTGTGAGATTACCTGTCTTCCAGGGAGAACAGAGCCATTCCAAAACCACTTTAAATTCAGGAGCTGGACCTTGTGAGTCCCTTCCAACTCAGGATATTTATGATTCTCTATAGCAATATACCTACACAAGGTAGAAAACACAAACTAAGTGTTAATGTAAGAAATTATAAACACCAACACCCCGTTACCTTTTTCTTTACTCATTCCTACCCCTTCCAGGCCTTTCATTTTATGATCCCATACCTTACCCAGCTAAAGGCTTTTATAAGCCAGTTTGTTTTCTGGCCTTAAAAGTCCTATTTACATGTAGTTATTTATTTTTTGTATACTATAATTTCTTTGACACGCCTTATTTCCCTAAATACTTTTGTATTCTACATGAAAGTATTAGAATGGACTCAATTTATGTAGGATGAGCAGCAACTCACACTTACAAAATTTGTGAGAGTAATAAGAACTATGTCTAATAATAAATCCCAAAAGTTATTTAAGGATAAAATATCTCAAAAACCAATGGAAAATTCCTCAAAGCTTTGAGAAACTGCAATATGTGTCAGTTCAGGGTGAGGTCACTTATTTTCTCCAACAAATTCTTGGTGGAACCTGTTCCACACATGCCTTTATTTTCCTGTGGTGCTCACCTGTGTGTGATACCTTCCTCCAGCTGGATCTGCCTGTTGGTAATATCTGAATGACACCATGTCCACAGGTTGGACATGATCCACCACAGGAAAGATCTTAAAGGATAGTGGGCAGTCTTCACTTCTTGGAATCTCTAATTGAGGCAGTAAATTTTTGTGAAAAAAACTGTTGTCATTTTGTCTCGACTGAGTAGATTTACTCTAGAAATGGCAGAAGATTTTGCAGCCCATTCTGCACAGACCAACCCAAAATCCTGTAATTGCTTCTATTAACTTCCAGGTCATTTAACTAGCAATGATAAATGGATCAGCCAGTTCTGGATGGGTACTAAATTCTGCACAGGGAAAGATGATGCAGAGCAGATGTTTCACAACAGATAAATAAAAAACCAAAAAAATACATTGGTTTGCAAGTTTCTTTCATGCAACTTGGTCTATCATAGCTGAATGGGCACTTCTTGAATATGCTTAGAAACTGTCCAAAGGGCAGAATGGAGAAATATAGATTCTCTGAAAACTGAAAATTAAGATTGCTTAGAAGTTTATTGATTATTTTCATCATTGCCAAATAGGAATACATGAAAGAAATATTAAATGTTCCTATTGTGAACAGAACTCGATATAGTTTCAAATATGTATTCAGTCACAGTTCTCTAGACATTCTTTCTTTTTTTAAATAATCTGCATCCCAGCCTACCTGTTGGAAAGCTGACGTGTCTAACACATTTTTCAATCTCTCTTCAGGTGTCACTGGTTGTCAACGTTGCAAGTGAGTGTGGGTACACAGACAGCCACTACAAGGCCTTACAGCAGCTGCAGAGGGACCTGGGCCCCTACCATTTCAATGTGCTGGCCTTCCCCTGCAACCAGTTTGGGCAGCAAGAACCAGACACCAACAGAGAAATCGAGAGCTTTGCGCGAAAGACTTACGGTGCCTCCTTTCCCATGTTCAGCAAAACCACAGTCAGCGGGGCTGGAGCAATTCCTCCCTTCAAGTACTTAATTGGTGAGTAATCCAGAACACTGGAGGGTTGTTTCTTAAGTGTAGAATTCGTCTGATACAAAATAACATCTGACAGAAAAAAGATCCCTATGATTGTGTTCACAGAGTTGGCGGGCTCAAAGAGGTCAGAAGTCACGTAGCCCTTCTCACACAAGGCAGGATTTCTCTCTCTATCACCTCTGAGAGCTTTGTCTTACCTTCTAAAAAGATCTCCGGAGGTGAGGACACATCAGTAACAGTTGTCCTGTAAAAGCTCATCTAATAAACCTCTACATAGGATATAGATTTTGAAATATTCCCCTGTATACATCCAACACCTGACCTTCCGTTTTCTACTTTGCAGCCTCGTAAGTGCTCCTCCTGCGACAGGAGTGCTGCAGGCTGGATTTATAAGATTCATCTCAAGAGATGTAGCATAAGTGGAAGCAAAGCACCTCATAATTTACTTCAGCAATCAGAAAGTGAAACTGGGCACTAAAGGATGTCCTTGAATACTCCCTTCCTCACTCCTCCCCAAGTGTTGGAATAGCCATGTCCAGTTCCGCCGGTTCCAATCTGCTTTATAGCACTGACACCTGAAGAGCTTTGCAGGTCCTTAGCAGCCAGCTGACAAAATATGTTGTAAGGCAGGATATTCTTTATCAAGGCACTATTTTTCTTGCACTGAACAAACGCTCTAAATACCATTTAAATGCTAAATTAAAATGTCAGCCTTAACCCAAAGTGAAGGAAATGTCTTCCAACAATGAAATAAAATAAAACTCAGTGTGACACAGAATTCCTTGAGCTCCATCCTGCAAGGACTGTGTCGCTGCTGCTTCTCTGCAGTGTTTGCCCACATACCACTGAATTTAAATGAGTAGTGATAATATTTGTGACTGTCCCAAGCACACCTCCTTCCAGGTGTCTGTGGTGGATCTCTCTGCTAGGCAAACTTCCCTTTAATCTTCTTCAGGTCCTTCCGTTTCTGTTTTCCCCAGCAGGGTTGTTCCTGCAGACATCTCACATGAAACTTGCCAAACTTGTGTTTCCCTGTTGTCCCACAGGAAGCAGGAGGCTGCTGGAGGCAGCATTTAAGCAGCACAGTGTAGTCTGGCTGTGTCTTGGTGGTACTTTGAAATATCTTCTAATTCCTCGTGAGATTTTGCTCAATGTATAATCAGTGGAAAAAAGATGCTAATTTGTCTGTAGCATCTGTACTTGTGCTTTTAGTGGGATGAGGTGCCTGTGCTAATTGAAAATCCTGAAAATTTTATTAGTCACGTTGCAGAGCAGTGAAGGATAAGAATTCAACTTGTGTAAAATGAGTACGTGGCCAGGGAGGGAAAAATTAGATGAGTAGGAGGAAACCTGGAACAATTACTTTGTTACTTCATGTAACATTTGTTGAAACAATCTTCTGAAGCACCTGACACTGGGTGCTTTCGGAGGGAAAATTCTGGGTAAGCAAGTAATCAGTCCTGGTACAGCTACACTGTTATGCCAAATACCATTTTCCTATCAAAGTCCACTGTTTCAGGTTTATCTGGGTGGCACAGACACACACATGCCCTCACACACTTTAACACCCATTCTAGTGCTTTCTCCTGTCTGTCTGAAGCTTCCCTGTTCCCATTAGTCTCCAGGGGGCTCCTGTCTAATTAAAGCTCCCTGTCTGTCAGAAAATTAATCTTGTTCAGTCTGAACTCCCTATTTTACATTCCTCCTTCCTCTGAGAGGGTAGTCATCAAATTGATAGGAACAAATGTCAGGAATTGCCTAATGTGTTTTTCTAATATTTCACTTTTTCGCCTGTAGGTTCTACAGGAGAAGAACCAACCTGGAACTTTTGGAAATACCTGGTGGACCCCAATGGGAAAGTAGTAAAGGCCTGGGACTCTACTGTCTCTGTGGAAGAAATAAGACCTCATGTTACAGAACTTGTAAGAAAAATCATCCTGAAGAAGAAAGATGAATTATGACTTTCAAAAATACCAGCATGCCAATTACATCTCTGTTGAGAATTAGGACAGGTCTTTGTCTTTTCACATTCCAAAAGAGAGAATATGGGGAAGGGAAATTAGGACCAGTTGAATCTATAGTCACCATTCTAAGAATGTAGAAAACAGCAAGTTAGCATGGTCTAAGTAATTTAAATTTTTTTCTCCAACTGAATTCAGTTTGACCTTTCTGGGAAAAAAGAAATTCTCAGTAATTGTTTCTTCCCCAGTTCAAGTTATTCATTGTGGGTAACACTATAGGAAGTCAGTTAATGTACTTGTAGGAAGAAGACTCAGAATAATGAGAATTTCCTAACTGGGTTCTCACTGATATCTACATTTTTGTTGTTATGTTTTGACACAAACTGAATAAAATAAAGAGTAAAAAGTGCATGATTGACTCAAGGCATGTGCTAAGGAGAGAGACAAACCAGGTACCTTCAGCCCAGGCAGACTTGCATGGATATATGCCTTTCCAATTACCACAGCCAAACATATTTCATTTCATCTGTCTAGAAAGTCATTTTAGAAGGGCATTGGGGAAATAAAACTATTAAATAGAAATGGAAGAAATATGAAGACAAAGTCTCTTTAAAAATTCTCCACAAACTATGGGAAGAATTTCTATATTTTTTCACCAAGTAAAGACTACTAGATGATATTTAAATAGTCATTTGAACATCTGTAGGACCAGAGCCTATAAGAAATGGCTGTTTCTTCTGAGAGCATTTTGTCTTAGAATTACTCTCGCTCATAAAACTCTCATAAAACTGATGTTAAATTTATTTTACAATTTATGACACCATCCAATTTTGCTGCATGTACAGACAAACACTAGACAATCAACATCTTTTCCATGGAGTTAATTTTTGCAAATATTTAATTCTTACATAATGTTACCTAGTTTAACACCACATTTATGTTACAAATTATTAATGTCACCTTTTCAGGCATCTGCTCAGCTCTCAGCCTGCAGAATTCCTTAGCTCACACTAAAATAATAACACCAACAATTGCAGCCTCATTGTTCCTTGACAGAAACCCTTTGAAAATCTTGTCAGATGAACTCTTTGTGTCTTGACAAAAACACAATGTTCCCATGCTCTTAACCCCAGGATGCTTTAAGAAGACTCTAGTCTTGTCCAATTGCAGTATTATTGACAAGTGAAAGCTTTTTTCTGCTTTTTAATGTTTTTTTCAGGTAGCACAAACAATGTTTGTCCATATAGTTGTCAGGGCCCAAGTGTACAAATAAGCCCTAATTGACCTGACCACAGTAAGGATTTTTTCCAAGTCATCACTGCCATTAAAGCTCTTCAGTGTCCAAACAGGCTCTAGGGGAAATCAAAGGCAAGTGTTGTGGCCTGCACTGGTTTGCAGAACAAGAGGGGAAAGGAGAGACATTCTGTGGAGCTGTCTAAGGAAGTAAGAGCTTGAGGTACTTTAGGATTTCCAGAAAGACCGTGAAGGGCAGAGATTGTACTGGACAAAACAATCTCAAATTGCCTGAAAGAAGCTGAGAGTGAGGTTTTTTTAGTTTTTAGTGAAAAAAAAAAAGGGAGGCATGTGGAAGAGAGAATAAAAGGAAGAAGTAATAGAAGAACAAAAGAAAAAAAGATATCAAGTAAAAAGGAAGAAATGAGAAGGAAATGAAAAGACAGTTTGCAGCCAAAGAATCTTTGGGACAAATGGGGCACAGAAATGTTCCAGTCTGAACATTGATACTAATGAGTATGTTCCAAGCTATATCAGCTACTTCTCACTTAACTGTAACTTAAGAGTGCAGGAAATTGGTGCTTGTGGCAGTGAATGTCTGTATTTTCCTCTTCTGGTGGTGAGGAAAGTGAACTCTATGGTTGATTCAGTCATTTAGTCTATTCTTACAGGGATCACTCTAAGACAATGGTTGCTAAGGATATCACATAGAGAGGAAAATCAGATTCAGCTGATACTGTGCTGGGATAGAGAACCCAGCTGCTACAAAAGAAACTCTTTATTATCCATAGACTGTTTTTCTCTGTCCCTTGACATTGATACAGAGCCCCAGCATTCTGTTAGCAAGTGCTGCAGGGCTCAAAGTTTTCCCCTTAAGAAGTATGGTTCTGTTTTATAACTGAAGCCTGGATGAGCCCAGACCAGGCTTTTAAAAACTTTTTAGGCCCTTTCTAGTTCAATTTTGTGTGTCCAACTTCAAACAGAACTCTGGATTTACATAGAAACAATCTCCCATTCTCCACCAGACAAATTCTACTAGTCTAAAGAGATGCAATGGCAAGAATCAGTTGGAAAGGTTTTATACTATATGGACAAATATTGTTTGTGCTGCTTTTAAAGGCATTACAAAGCACAAAAAAGCTTTCACTTGTCAATAATACTGCAATTGGACAAGACTAGAGTCTTCTTAAAGTATCCCGGGGTTAAGAGCATGGGAACATTGTGTTTTTGTCAAGACACAAAGAGTTCTTCTGACAAGATTTTCAAAGGGTTTCTGTCAAGGAACAATGAGGCTGCAATTGTTGGTGTTCTTACTTCAGCAGGAGCTAAGGAGTTCTGCAGTCTGAGCAGATGCCTGAGTGCAAGGAATAACTCCAGGCTGGTGACTGTTAGAACTGAGGTTCTTACCAGTTTGGCCATTTAAAGAGAACTAAGGTAAGTATCACACATGCAAGCCACGAACAACAGCAAATGTGAACAGGCACATGATTTTAAGCACATACCTACTCTTTCAGAGGTTAAAAGAGTTGTTTTCATGATTAAATTAAGCACACGGCACATATTCCATCCTTTATTGCACTAAATCAGTTTGTAGAACAAAGGCTTTGGTCTTTTAATCAAAGTTATGGAGTAGAAGTAAATCTTCTCAGTTGTAGATTAATTCGTCTCTAGTCGTGCTCCAAGTCCTTTAGGACTCAGAAGACTTGCAAATTACACTGCACTGGGTTAGATTTGTCTGTTGAGATTGGACAGAGAGCATGCAGAGATCAGAAATGACTTTCTTTGCCTCATGAGTTCCAACACTGTTTTAATCTGACAGGGAGATCCCCTACAGCAAGTCCTGAAACCTGTAAACCAGCTCTGAATATTTAGCATGAAACATTTTTCCTTGCCACTTATCTATTTTGTAGAGACAACATCAGTGTGCATTAACAGCTGAGCACCTTGATGCATGGAAAGCAATTACCTTGATCACCTAAGACTTGGTCTCCTACAGTTTGCAACTTTAAAGGTGTAAATTCTTGGCATGTTGATTTAAAACATAAACTAAGCACCCTGACATGATTGTGTGCAGCCATGTGCCCCCTGTGGCAATGCCACAGGGAGAAGAAATAACTTTAAAGCCTGACTGTAAGTTTTAAGTTAGACCAGGCTCTTTTGATCTTTCAAAACTTTGTCTCATAAAGAAGGTAAAATCAGCCCTACGTGTATTCAAAGCTCTGTTTGAAATGGAATGTGCTCCATTGATATAGAGCAATTGAATGAAGTGATAGAGAGGGGTTTAACCCCCTCTTTTGGCATTATAAGGAGAACAAAACCAAATATCCTCATTATCCTTACAGCCACATCTGGTATTTTAGTTATATACCAGGGACATTTCACTTGAATTTCTATTGTGATTTTAGTCAGAAATCCCAGTGGCAAATCAGACACAATTTTTCAGTTTATCCCATCCAACACATCAGCAACTCATTCAATAAGTTGCTGACCACAGTCAGGACTTTCAGAAGACTGTACATCCCTTTGGTTAAGCAAACAAATTTGATGCTGTCTTCAATTATTAGATCAACCAAATACATTCTCTACACATGTAAATCTATACTGCACCTTCCCATAGCACCAGATGAAATTTTACAAGCTTCCTTCTGACTCATTCACAGAAAGAATCAAATAAGCAGAGAAATTAGGTGTTCTCTGTGACAATTAACAGATTCTGCAGTAAAAACATCACTGACAAAACACAAAGGTGTTTACAAACCTTTTGATGGATGAGATACTGAAAGCACCGAATTTGAGAACTAGTTCTTAACCATATTAAAGCTCCACAGCACAGAGCAGAAGGAAATCACTGAGCTGTACCCAGCCATCCTCTCAGAGGTGATCTAATGCTGTGATCTAATGCTGCACAGCTCATTCATCTGCCCAGGCAGCTCACTGACACAGTGATGGCCACGGCAGAGGAGGAGAAACAGCAAAACTCAGCTACATCTTTTAAGCCAGCCCTTGGCACAGATGGCAGTGGGGCCTGTCCAGTGACAAGGGCTGCCCTTTGCCAGCTGTCTCTGCACAGGAGCTGAATCAGCCCCAAGGAACTTTCCACCCTTAGCCTAGAACACCTGATCCCAGCTGTCAGTCTACCTAAGAGATAAGACAGGCTGTTTTATCACAGCACTGCAAGATACTTGCTCCAAAGAAGATCTTCTAAAGTAACTCCAGAAAATGAGAACAGTCGAAGGATCATTTGAGTTTTAAGTAGGCAGACCTGTATTCTGGAAGGTGAGAGGAGGCAGGGAAGTTTTTAAGATGGTTCTGCTGATGGAGAACAATAGAAAGACTGAAATACGATTGGTTGGAGAACAAACTTTCGTGACACCTGATTTATAAATGCAGTTCTGGGGAACACTTCCCCATCAGACAGAAATTACAGAAATTCCACCTTTAGGGAGCTGTAGTTTCAGCTTCCTTAAGTGAAAGATGCAGTAAGAAAGTTGTTACTGTATTATATAAAATAATCCTCTGGCTTTTTTGTCCCTCTTGCCCCGAAGGCATTGCTCTTTCATAGTTAGTGCTTTAACCTGATTTATATGATAAATCATTATATTTTTATTTATCAAGCAAGTAAATCTGACAATGATGAATAAAGAATAGCTGGCAAGGAAAATATCCATGACCCACAAATTGTTCATCCATCCTTTAAAAAAGGGCACAACAGTCAAATTGCTCTTGTAATGAAAGAGCTTGCTGAATTCCCTGCATAAGTTATAAATCAACTTCTCTAACCCTTAATTAGAGTCACACCAGTCATTCTGATTTGTCATTACTTCTATGTTCAAAATACTGTTTATTTTCTTACTGGTATTTTACTGTCCTCTGGAGAGACCACTAACCACTAGAGATATATAGAGAAATGTTTTTCTGCCATATGAACATTTTACATTTGAAAACTCCTCTTCCAAATCCAGACACAGTATTTTAAGTTTTCAGGGAAAAATAACCCCCAAACCATCAGTTTGGTTAAGCTGAAACATTTAGTTGGACACAACTGATGAGAAACATTTCAAAGGTGATATTCATGTTTTCAAACTTTATAAATAAAATATTAAAAACGAAAATAATTTCAAACCAAGAAACAGAATCTAAATGGCAATATAAAGAGCTTTGATGATCTTAAAACTTAGAAAATTGATTTTGTGAA